TTTGAACACACTACTTTTCCTGATATGTTAAAAGTTGCTGAAGTCAATCCTGTTTATAAAAATGGAGATAGTAACAATATGTCTAACTACCATCCAATTTCCCTCCTACCAGTGTTCTCTAAAGTTTATCAAAAATTAGTCTACAATCGAATTTATAATTATATGAAGTTAATCAAACTTTTATATGAAAATAAATTTGGTTTTCAAAAAAGTTGCTCAACAGAGCATGCTATCATTGAACTTACTAATATAATGTATTAATTTTTTGATAAAGAGGATCATGTACTGGGAGTATTTATAGACCTTTCAAAGGCATTTGATACAGTTGACAACATCTTAATATCAAAATTAAAACTTTTATCAAAGGATTAATGATCTGAGTAATAGAAAGTTTGTAATTAACAAAAAGTTAAGTGTTCTTGATATTGGGTGTCCCTCAAGGCTCAATCTTAGGACCGTTATTGTTTTTTATTTACATCAATGATATGCTTCAAGCATCATCTATAGTACCTTCAATAATGGGTGTCCTATGATTCAACCGAATCCTAAATTTTAATTTAGAACCGAATATGAGAAATTTATTGCACAACCAAAATTATTCACGAAAAAAATTAGGACCGAAAAGGTTTCAATCGAATTTACAATCGAAAGTCATTAATGATTTTAGAGCCGAAAAAAAATCGATCGAATTTTCGATCGAAAGTCATAAATAATTTTAGATTTTAGGGTTTCTTGTTCCCTGTCACAGTAATTTCTTTTTAAAAGAATCTTTTTGCCATACATGATCGTAAAAATATTTTGAATATTCTTGTTGATCATAAGTTGGCTATTTCAAACATTTAAAAACCTTTCTACGCCACTAATCTTAGTGATCATCTTTCGGAAACCTAGTATCACACATTTTATATATATATATATATATATACATATATATATATATATATATATATATATATATATATATATATATATATATATATATATATATATATACATATATATATATATATATATATATATATATATATATATATATATATATATATATATATATATATATATATATATATATATATATATATATATATATATATATATATATATATATATATATATATATATATATATATATATATATATATATAAGTAATTCGATCCTGTAATGAAAGTATAGTTTTCATTTCTAAAATATTCGGTTGTGAAATATTTTGGTTATATTTTCGAGGATAAATATTTTTGGCTCTATCATGTGACACCCAATAATGTATCCTGACTTTATTTTATAATCATATTAATTTAAAATCGATGTTCGGAACAATGAGTACTGAACTGGCAAACTTTAATCCTTAAACTGTGAAAAAACTAACTACATCTCATTTCATAAAACAGGTCAATCAATGTCTCTACCGTTAAAAATTCCAGAGTTGCTCATTAACAACATAACAATAAATTTTATATTTACATTTATATAAAATTATATTTTATATAAATGCCGCCTGTTTCTTGATTTCTGTTCAAAAAAACAACAACTTAACTTTAGTATAATTCACAGTCATCTCACATATGCTAATATAATGTGGGCTAATACACACAAAACAAAATTAATCAAACTACAAGGCTTGAAAAACCATGCTTGTAAAGTAATTCATTATCTAGGTAAAATGAACAATCCTTCTAACGCGATGACAAATATGTAAGTCTTAAACTTGGAAAAAACTTAATTTATATCAGATTCTTATTTTTATGTTCAAATATAAAAATGACATGCTACCAAATTCTTTTTAAGACATATTTTCGTCATCATTTTCTCAAAGTTATAATCTGCTATCAAATAGCTTCCATAACTATTATACTAAAAAAGCTAAAACCCAGGGTTCTGAATTTTCAATTATGTTACAGGGTCCCAAAATATGAAAAAACTTGAAAAATCAAAAATTAAAAAACTTAAATGAAATATCGTCGTTTATATAAACAATTTAAATAAATTTTCTAACATTTTAAATACAATTTTATTTGCAGATGATACCAGCTTGTTTTATTCCAAAAAAGATATCAATATTTTAAACAGTAAATAAAGAACTAGACATACTAATCGAATGGTTTAAATCAAACAAATTATCTTTAAATATTGCTAAAACAAAATACACTTTAAAAAATCAGATATTCCCTTAGAACTTCCATACCTTTTTATTGATAATCAATTAATAAGGAGATAGAAATCAATAAAGTTTTTAGGCGTGTTTCTAGACGAAAATGTAACTTGGAGAGAACATATAGGTGTAGTTGAAGATAAAATATCAAAAAATTTAGGTATAATGTACAAAGCTAAACAGTTATTAAATCGATCTTTTTTAAAAAACATTTACTTTTCTTTTATTCATTGCTACTTAAGTTATGCGAACATTGCTTGGTGTAGCACTAACGCGACGAAAATAAAAAAATTGCTTAGCAAACAAAAACAGGCTATAAGGATAGTTTCAAACGTAGATCGTTTCTCTCACACACAAACACTTCTTAATGAACTCAATATCCTAACAGTATATAAACTAAACCTCTATCATGTTCTTATTTTCATGTTCAAAATTGATAAAAATATATTACCAATCTTCTTTTATTCAATTTTTGAAAATAAATAAATCTTATATACCCTACTACATTTTCAAAACTCAATCCAAAACTTATTATTCCGCTACTAAATTCTCTATTGTAAACCGAGGACCAAAGTTGTGGAACATAATATTAAATAATAAACTGAAAACTAATTATTCTTTAAACCAATTCAAAACTAAGCTTAAGCAATTACTTTTGTTAACTGAAAATGAATTAAATTTTTTCAAATAAAGCTTCTTTAAATTAGAAATCAATAATTAATAGTTAATTAATTAATAACTTTAGAATATTAATACATAATTAATCAACATATGTACATATATTTTTATTGTTTTAAATAATAATCATTTTTAGGAGTCATTTTTTGTAAAAAAAAAAAAAATTAAAAAAAAAAAAAAAGGCAAGCAAAGCTGTATATTTTTAGTATATACAGTTTATATATATATATATATATATATATATATATATATATATATATATATATATATATATATATATATATATATATATATATATATATATATATATATATATATATATATATATATATATATATATATATATATATATATATATATATATATATATATATATAATACATATATATATATATATATATGTATATTTTAAGTATATACAGCTTTTATATTTATATAAATATATATATATATATATATATATATATATATATATATATATATATATATATATACATATATATATATATATATATATATATATATATATATATATATATATATATATATATATATATATATATATATATATATATATATATATATATATATATATATATATATATATATAATACATATATATATATATATATATATATATATGTATATTTTAAGTATATACAGCTTTTATATTTATATATTATTATTATTATAGTTGTAGCCGTAAAATATACATACCATATATACATACAGCGAGCAGGAAAAACACCCTACTATAAACAACCAGTTTTATAAATATTCGTTGTGAATTTTATCCTCAATCAATTATCTAATCTAATTTTAAAAGAAAGTACAGTGGAGTATAAAGTTACTTGCTCGGGTAGTTCATTCCAGTATTTTGCTGATCTATTATATAATTGGTTGTGTCTTGGAAGACAGTTTGGAACAAGTCTTATTTTAAGGTGGTGACCACGTGACAACGAGTTAATAAATTTTGGTTGATATATATTATTAATTATATCAAACCGATGTATTAGTTTAAAAATTTGTATTAGATTGCATCGTACGCGCCGAAACTCGAGTGATGGTAAGTTTAGTCTTTTAAGTCTTTCATAGTATTGAAGATTTCTCAAGTTTAAAGCCCATTTTGTTGCTTTACGTTAAACAGATTCAACCAAAGCTACGTCAGTTTTAAAAAACGGGGCCCAAACTGACACTGCATATTCCAGGTGTGGTCTTATAAACACTTTATATAATTTGAGAGCCATTTTTTCATCAACAATGGTGAATGTCCTTTTTAGCATTCCAAGAATTTGTAAAGATTTGGAGACAACTGATTGAATATGTGTACTCTACTTGAGGTTAGATGTAAAAATGACTCCTAAATCGCGCTAACAGAGCTTCTTAGGCTTTCATTTATACCTTGGTTATTTTTTAAAAAGTAGCTATACGTAGGATTGGTTTTACAATAATGGATAACACAGCATTTTGAAATGTTTAATTTAAGTAACCAAGTGTTTGACCACTCGTATACTAAGCGTAGACGATCCTGCAGATCAACGAAATTAGTCTGCGATGAAGTTTTATAAAAATGTTTAGTACTGTCTGCAAATACTTCAGAAGTTTCTGTAAGTTGGGCAAGATCATTTGTAAAAAGAATAAAGAGGAGCGGGCCGAAAACAGGACCTTGAGGAACACCACTAAGAACATCAACCCAGTCAGAGCTAGTATTGTTAATTGTAACGCGTTGCTTTCTGCCTACTAAGAAGGAATTAATCCATTATATAGTTTGCCGTTTATTCCGAATGATTTTAATTTTAACATGAGTCTGGTGTGGGTTACACTGCAAAAAAATGTTTTGCTAATTTAACCAAATATGTTTGGTTAAGTAAATTTGGTAAAAGTTACAAACTTGTTTGGTAAAATATACCAAATCTTTTGTGAACTTTACCAAATTGATTTTGTTATTTTAACCAAATTATTTGTTTGAAGATCTTTTCGGTTTTTGCCTTAACGCAAAATATAACGAGTTTATTTGGTTAAATTTACAAAATTGTTTTAGTTATTTTCACCAAATGCGCCACGGGATTGCAAATGATAAAAAAAGCTAGGTTTTGTCGCTATTTTTTTTCTTCATTAATTGTTAGGTATCGTAGTTTCAACTAAAAAGAATTTTTATTAATTTCACTAATCATGATTAGCTGTGCTTATTATGAATATACCGCAAGCTGCAGCAACTCTTATAAATGTCATCTAAAAGTATTTCACAAACATAGTTATAACAAAAGATTAGTTTGCAGTCAGGGTGGTTGTCCGATGGAATATAATTCTTTTCAAAGTCTTTCAAAGCATATTGAAAAATCTCATCGAGAAGTTATTTTAGGACCTACTTTAGAAGAAGCAGATACTATGCAACGATGTTTCCATTCAAATAACTTGTCTCTAGCTGTTCACAATACCGAACCTGTTTGCCCAGATAATATGTTAAAATTTGGTATAAAATTTGATGAAATCGATGGTATATTTGAAGATTCCGCTTATTTCATTTCTAAACTAAGAAGTTATTCTAATATACCCCTAATCACTACATTGAAAATTGTTGATGCATGTTCAGACTTTGTGTCATCAATTGTAACAGGAATTAGTAATGAGACCCAAGGAATATTTGACAAGCATGGTCTCCAAAAAGATGAATATAATAGTTTCTTTGAAAATATCTTACGCCTCCAAAAACCTTTTCAAGGCTTAGAAAGTTTGCATAAACAAACAAATTATTTTGAAAAGAAAGGGTATTATATAAAACCAAAATCATACCCAATAGGTATGATTTTGGTTTTATATAATTTTATAAACACTCAAAAATCAGCTAAAGGAGTAGTTTGCTCAACTTGTATAGCAGCAGGGCAATATGTTTCATTAAAGCAGTGTCTTGAAGTTTTTCTTTGTCTTCCTGGTGTACTTGATGAAATAAGAAGTAATACAAAACCATCTACTAATGGTTTAGTTTCAGATTTTAAAGATAGAGAGTTGTGGCAAAATCACCAATTACGCCGTCAATATGCTCATTCCTAAAATACTTTTGTAATTCCAGTTTTTTGTTTTTTTGATAATTTAGAAACTGCTAATCCATTAGGTTCACATAGCACTGTTCACAAAATTGGAGCTTTGTGTACAATTCTAAAATGTTTAAAATCACTACATAATTCAAAACTTGAGAATATTTTGTTAAGTGCAGTTATATATTCTTCTGATCGCATTAAGTATTCGAATAAAGATGCATTTTCTATATACATAGAAGAAATGATAGAATTAGAAACAAAAGGTTTTACTATAAAAATAGATGGTAATGAATTTAAAATATATGTTGTTCTTGCTCAAATTATTGGTGACAATCTTGGTTTAAATGGAATATTAGGTTATGTTGAAAGTTTTACTGCAACATACCCATGCAGAATATGCAAAATGAAACGTAAAGACTTTGACAGTATTTTTGTTGAATCTGTTGAATTACTTAGAACTAGAGAATGTTATGATTATGATGTTTCTTTCAATAATTGTTCCCTAAATGGTACAAAGGAAAAGAGTTGCTTTAATAAAATTCCATCATTTTATGTTAATGATAATATTTATTGTGATATTATGCACGATTTGTTAGAAGGCATTTGTAAATATGTTTTTCAAAAAATGTTAAACTATCTAGTATTTCAGAAAAAGTTCTTCAATCTAGGTGACATAAATAGCAGAATGAGAAATTTTTCATATGATCACTCGTCATTTCCTTCCTGTCCCACTAAGTATCAAATAAAAAATGGTTCAACTAATATTGGTGCAATTGAAATGCTAAATTTGGTTTTAAGCTTTCCTTTATTAGTTGGAGATTTAGTTCCTTTAGAAGACAATGTTTGGGTTGTTTTTTTATTGTTAAAACAGATTGTCCTTTACTCATTTGGTTTGTATTTGTCCTTTACTCATTTGTTCTCTCATTACTGAATTTTTACAAGAATACTGTTTTGCATTTAGGTGTGGCTTAACTTTAAAGTTTCATAACCTTATTCATTATCCACGTATTATTAAAATGCTTGGCTCGCTAAGTCATATGTGGGTAATGCGTTGCGAAGGTAAATTAAGAGGTTTTAGGAGAACTGCTTCGTCTGTAGAAAATTTTAAAAATGTTTGTAAAACAGTAGCCATAAGACACCAAATGGATCAGTCAACTCGATTCATGGCAAAACATGGCTTAAAAAATAATAAATTTTGTGTTGCTAAAACTGAACCTATTTTACTTATATCAGAGTTGATTGGTAAATATACTGAACTATATCAGAGTTGATTGGTAATTATGGGTTGTACAGAGAAATTTTCCAGACAAAGTGTGTTTCTGTTAACTTTGTTAGCTTTAAAATTGGTGATGCTGTTATATATGCAGTTGAAGAATTATACCCTGCATTTTGTCTAATCAAACAAATTTTTGTATCTGATACTAATTTATTTTATTTTATTTGTCAAAAGTTGTTTATTGTAACTGAATGTTATCACTTACAATCTTTTGAGGTTGACATTGAAACAGAGTTAATTGTTTTAAATTGCTCTCTCATTGATACCATTATCTCACCTTGGCCGTTGAAACTACGAAATTTAAATAAAAGTAAATACTTGTCATTAATGCACAAAATATAACTATTGATCCCGGCAGCATTTAACTTAGTAGCATTTAAATTTTTTTCTTTTTAATAAAAAAAATTTGCGTAAGTATTTTATATTCTTTAGGGCAAAATTGAAAAGTCTTGTTTTTCAAAAGAGAAATGACATACTACCTATAAATTTTACTAACCATGTCTTTACTCCAAATTAAATAGATATTATATCTACTTAATTTGGAGTAGAGACATTGTTAGTAGCATTCTAAATTTTTAGTTATACTCATTCTAAATTTGTGTCACGAAAGGAACTATAGGTACCTTCAAGGAAACAAGTTTCAATTGTTATAACAAAAAATTTGAAATTCTGTAAACAATGTCTTTACCTTAAACTAAATAAGTTTTATAAGTAGTATGTAAGATATTATTAGCATCTGAATTCATCTGAACATTTTTAGTTTTTTTCATTTCTATTTTAGTTTGCAAAGGTTACTTTCCTTTTGAAAAAGCGAACATTTCAATCCTGCTCTTTTTTTTGTTTCTCTAAGTTTTAAACAATGTAGATGTAATTTGTATTGTTTTTAGTGAACTGATATTATGTATTTATTTAAAAATAATAAATTATATTATTTTATATTATAATATATAACCCACAAAATTATTATATTATAGATAAGTATTATTTTTGCTATAACTTCTAAAATGATATATTTACATTACTTCATTTATCGGTTTCCTATGGTTCCTCAAAAGAGGCTGTTTTGGTAAATTTTCCAAAATTCATACTCGTTAGAATTATTTGAATAGAAAGATTTAATATCAATATTAGACCACTTCATATTCGGGAAATTAAAATCACCAACAATCAAAAAGTCATCATATGGCTTCCTAATTAAGCTATGAGCCAATTTAAAAGATTCAGTGACATAGTTTATTAGATTAGCATCATTTGGTCTATATAAACACCCAATAAGTATGCGTTTATTGTTAACTTGTACTGATACCCAAACTTGTTCAAGTGAATTCGTATAGAACTGGTTAACTTCGTGAGAGTTAAATAAGTCAGTAATGTAGATTATTGACTTATTTAACTCTCTTATTAACACCGCCACCTCAACATCCGTCACAGCGTTCTTTGCGAAATAAATTATACCCATCGATGTTAGGAACTAAGTCATTTCGAAACCATGTTTCGGAGACTGCAATAACATGATAGTCAAACGTTCTAGCTATTGCAATTAAATTGTTCATTTTGTTATCAAGGGATGTTGCATTAGTGTAGTAACAATTAACACTATAGTTTGTTTCCAGGTTATGTACGTCTTTACTCTTGTATTTTATTTTCGTTGTTAGGAGAGTCAAGGGAGGATAGTGATTCTTAGGCTGTGGTTTGGAAATTTTTGAGCTTAACAACTCTGCTGCTTCGTATACCGTATCTAAAGAGCAATGTTTTTAGATTTATATTACTATTTAGTTCATTACGCTTCATTCTTAGTTGGTAGTTTAGATATCGCTCAGCCTCAGCCTTAGTTATATATATATATATATATATATATATATATATATATATATATATATATATATATATATATATATATATATATATATATATATATATATATATATATATATATATATATATATATATATATATATAAGTAGAAATAGTAATTACAAAGCTAATTATAAAAAAATTATTTCTAAGTTTACTTAATTACATTTTTATATAGACATAGATATATACTAAATGGCGCTATTAATGGAATCTGCAAAAAGATTTTTTTTTTGGAGTTTTATACCCAAAAATGCTGAATCTTCTTTTATTTCCTTTTTTTTTAGTTATTAAAGTATAGAAAAAATAAATATTTATAATAGTTATTATACCAGAATTTATATTAAAGTTTGCATCAATGCTATATTAATGTATCAATATTATATTAATGTATTTTTATCAATCTGATACCTAATAGTTTTGTACATATAATTTCTTTTTTTCAGGATAATAAATGTATATTTTATATGGTATACCTGGAGAAGAAAAAATAATAAAAAAAAACAAAAAAACTTCTTCGTGCACCTTAAAAAAAAAATTAGATGAGAGTCGCTAATTACTGCATATAAATTTACGCAAATTATATTGACTTCTGTTTTCACGACACAAAGTCGATTCAAAAAATACAAAGCAACTTTAACTTCACTGCTTACATCTTAGAAGTTCTTTAGTATGCTCATATTTGTAGAAAAGGAACAAAAAATCCTAAAAAGTTAATACCATCGAATGAAATATAAAAGATTTGATTCATAATAAATGATAAAAAAAAAAAAATCATCATTTAAAACAGTTTCCTTGTTTCATGCAAATAAAATTTCAAGTTTTAATATTACATATGAACTTTTAAAAAACCCTTTAGAAAATTATTTTTTATTCTGCGGGCTGATACTAGCCATTTTTTTGCAGCCATTAGATGTTGGCGTTTTTAAACAGTAAAAGATGAATGGAAGCGAGTACTTTCAAAGTCTGACAAATTGACATTTTTTAGCCTTGTTTAAGGATCTTATCTACCGATGCACGGAGTGGTTTCCAATATACAAATACATTTCAACTCGATTTTTTACAAATTTTTTCTCAAAAAACTGTTTCAAGCTGTCAAAAACAAAAGAATTGAAAATTTGGCTAGAGAGCAACAAAAAGTTACCACTGCTACTCAAAAAGCATAAAATGCACAATAAAGAGAAGAAAAAAAGTCGGCTAAAATACCAGGTATAAAAGGTCGAAAACCAAAGAATCAATCAGAAGACTTACATTTACCTCAAACTTCAAATAGCATTTTGGTATCTGATGATCGACTTTGTTTATCTTGTGAAAGTCATTTGGTGAACAGCTTAGATAACCAATTGCTTACATATGAGCAGTGTTCTTATTGGTCGTGCATTGCATGTGTTGCCGATTATCATTCAACGAAGGAATTTATTTGTAATGTATGTGAATAAAATAATATATTTTCTTTTTTTAACAATTGCGTTAATAGATTAACTTAATTAACTTACTATTAGCATTAGTTGTGTGATTGTTTTTTCATATTTTATATACATCCAGAATTAGGGATATAGACCCCTAATTTCGGATAAAAACATAATGAGCAAGTTATGATGATTTAAGTTCTAAACCATCCAGAGTGGTATTTTATCGTATATATATATATATATATATATATATATATATATATATATATATATATATATATATATATATATATATATATTTACTAATATAGTAATCTTCTAAAGTGAAAGCATGGCTATCTATTTTATGAGCTATAGTAAACCGACTCAAAGGAGAGCGAGTCCGTTTTTCATAATTATTATTTTTGACCAAATCAATAGGAACTATCGAAGTAGGCAAAGCATTCCATGTTGGAAACCACTCGATTTTTAAGAAGTTGTGTCTCCGACTGTTTCTGGTAACTTTCCATTTCAATTTTCTACTTTGCAAAAGACGACCTGTATGAACATCATATGCTAATGAACTAAATTTTAAAAAATTAAACTAGATTACATCTTGATATTCGTTCAGCTAATGAATCTTTATGCATATCGGCCGCGCATACGCTGCCGATATGCATAAAGCTTCAAAAACATACTTAAGTTCATTTTTTTTTTCAAGTTCAGAGTTTGCATTAAGCGTAGTTTGACTAATCTGTTTTAACCATTTAAGCATATTATTAACTAGTACACCAAATATTCTCTAAACAGATACAGCTTTAAGAGGAATGTGACTACCAGTTGTGTAACATTGTCAAGGGTATTTTTTTATTTACATTTATTTATGTTAAATTACTTTTTTTACTTTGATTTTGTTTATGCTAAATTCCATGCGCCTATATCTTGACTAATCAAGGTCCTCCTGAAAATACGCCAAGTCTACATTTGACTTTATTTTGGCAACCAAATGGCTATCATTGGCAAAAGTTTTTAAATGTTTTTAATTAAATTTGGCATTTTATTGATAAACAGCAAAAATAGTAGATCTTCTATGACTAATCTTTAAGAAGACATCCATCCATTTGGAGATTTTATTATAAAAGATCTCGGTTTTTTCTAGTCTAACATAAACTTTTGTAAAACAAAAACAATATTTTTAGCTCTCTTGCGTTATCCAAAGTTAATTGATGTTTTCCATAGTCCATAAATTTAATTCGGAGCAAAGACGTAGTATCAAATTGATTTGTGATTTCACTAAAAATAGAAGAAGTCGGATGTAATGTATTTTTGTTTTTAGTCTATATATATATACTCATTCTATATAACATATACATAGAATGAGTATATATATGTACATTCATACATACATATATATATATATATATATATATATATATATATATATATATATATATATATATATATATATATATATATATATATATATATATATATATTATATATATATATATATATATATATATATATATATATATATATATATATATATATATATATATATATATATATATATATATATATATATTTGTTCTTTATCACAATATTTATGATGCATATGTTACAAATAATATAAAAAAAGAAAAGATAACAAGTCAAGATATCGTTAAGAAATAAAGTAAAAAAAATAAAATTAAAGAACGCGGATAGTAAATAAAAAAAAAAGCTCGCATAGTAAAAAAAAAAAAAAAAA